TTTTGTAACGAAGTATGATCTGCTATGTCCAATAATTATGAATGAGCAAACACACATATACACATGCACATACGTTCACATATACGCATATATGTGCGTAAACTATTCATATTATCTTATGTGTAGTAATGCATGTTTTATGTAAAGTACTATATATATGATAAAATACTATATATCCAACGTTATGAACATGGCTTTGGGCTACTGGAAAATTATTTTGAAGATTTTGGGAATTTTACTGAGGGAGTAAAGTGACATTAACGCATATTGTTATCCAAGAGATGTTGCAGAGCGAAATGGGCATACTTCACGTTACTTTTGAAAATACGACATTGCAATCGCAGAAATTATTTTAAAAAATTCCGTAAAAAATTATACCAGAATGTGCGCTAGATGCTAACACTATACTACCTAAATAATCTAAATAACATAAATAATCTGCAATAACATGATCGACTTTCGGCCCATTTGCGAGTGTCCGACGTTCCTACGACACTAAGTTGGATCAAACGTTATGAACGCGGCTTTGGGCTATTGTACAAATATTTTCAAAATTCTGGGCGTGTTATTGAGAGAGTGGAGTGATATTAAGGCAAATTGTCATCCAAGAGACGAAGCAGAGGGAAATATGCACACTTTACGTCATTTTTGGAAATACATCTTTGCAAATGTGAAAATTTCGTTAAGAATCTTTAAAAAAATTATCCCAGACTTAACTAATACGGCTTAATGAATTAGCGAAAACTCAAAATACTTTGAATTCGAATCTCGATTTAATAATTTAGTGGAAACACAAAACACATCGGTTCGAATCTTGGCTTAATAATTTAGTGGGAAATCGAAACATTTTGTTTCGAGTATCGGCTTAATAATTTAATTGGTTGTCTTTAATTTGTCGAAATCTAATTTGTCGTCTTGTCAACAACTTAATTTGTCGTCTTGTCAACGCATATGCACTAGAAAATATCTCCGAAGAGATAGTATGTCGTATATAGAGTGTCCCGCCACTACCGCATTATCTCTTAATGACGGATTCCTGCGGAAGTGACGGGACACTCTGTATAATACGACATAACAAGTTATAAAGTATTTTAATCAAATAGTATATATAGAGCATATATATAATATATATAAAACATATATAGAGCATAAAAAAGCATATATAAACATATACAAAGCATATAAATATGACAAGTTGAAATATATCAGTTGAAATATATTAGTATCATCAAATAATAATCCCACGAGAAGGAAGCCTGCCGAGTCGAAATTTCAATTGGCCATTGTTATGCAAAAATGATCTAATTAAAAAAATTATAACCTTTTATCAATGGATACTCCTCCCTTCCCATCTTTTTAAACCAAACAAAAAAAAATTCAAGCCTTACAAATCCTTGAAATGAAATAAGAAACAGTTTGTTTATTTCGTACCAGTCGTGTCTTTTTGCACATATTTCTAAGAACTGAGCTTGACAGTATTCTTAAAGAAATGGAAATGCTTAACTCGTTGAACTATTGCGAAAATTTCAGAGCTCAATACTTTGGTTGGATCATTCTTATGTAACACCGGCGAATTGCAAATTCCAATTCTTACTTTACTTCCCGTCGGATCCAATGTGATTTACGTCTATGTGCATGCAATCTACGTAAAGTGACGCTTTTCTACTATATGAGCGTCTAAATTGAGCGCTCACCATTGCGCGTCGTCTCACGGTGTCCAAGGTCCACCAACCATTCTGTCGCTGCATCTGATACTGCAATAGTCCTCGCATCCCACGTCGCCTGTAATTCACTCCCGACTGCGGTAATCTAACGGAGGTTTTACGAAAAATCCCGTCTCTCTTGGAGGATACACTCCGAGTTGCGAATTGCGTATGAAATATCGTGAACTGAGTCTTCGAGGAAATGTCGGCCTTTCGGATAAACGACGAGTATATGCGACGAATTCAGCAACGGTCCGATCGAGTTGTAATGTATCGCTTTGAGGGATCAACACTCGCTAACATTGTCTCTATTGTGTCCCACGTTAGAAAACTCTAAGTAAAAAATTAAAACTTGTAAATTTTCCGACAATTGAAATTAATTTTGCGAGCAGTTTACATAATCACGTTAGATCGCTTTACGCAGATGCCGCATGATATCGAATTTTATTTAACTTTTTATTTTACTTAATAACGAAGCACGAACTCTACTTTGTGAAATGCAATCGCGATTCAAATTCATGCGAGAAAATTAACGACCGGCGGAAGATCTATGACGCGGGTGATGTGACTACGCATTTTCTGTGGCACAATCTCTGTGGCGCAATCTCTTGAGTGCGCATCGGCGCACTACTCCAGACACCTGGAAGATCGCATTCAATAAAACTGAATAATTTTACAAAATCTTAAATGTTCAAAGCGTATATTCAATACTTTAAGTATCTACCAGATAGTATTGGGATATAGTATAGTTAATCAAAATTTCCTCCGACAAAAATCGTCGACCAATCAATTATCTAAGTTAATCAATTAATAAATATATGTACATTGGGAGAAAACTACTTGAAAATTTATTTGTCAAATTTATGTAGTATATACATTACTAAATTGTTCTTTGAAAAAGCGATCTTCCAAATGTTTCGAGCAGCTTTTTATTGGACGGCACATACGCATACTACAACTACAGCAAAGTAAATCGCATTGATTTATAAGCACGCACTACATCGAAAGACTTTTTGTCTTCCTATTATCAATATGTTTCTTGTTTTGACTCACCGAACCGCCGATCAGGGCAGCCACGTTCTGCTTTCATTTCTGAAACAGAAAAATGCCGTTTCGTCGATTAGATTCATGCATTGAGTGGATTTGAATGAAAAAGTTTGAAAGATTAAAAAAAAAAAAAAGCGCGATATTTCTCACGCTGAGAGAATTTTTCGGAACGCATTTACATTAAAATATTCCACTTTCTTTTTGCTCGACGTTGCAAATAAATCTCTTAGTTAGAACAAATCAACATTTTTCAAGTGGAGATGTTACCCAGAAAAATTCTCCCCGCGTGTAATTACAATTTAACGCGATCTTTGATTCAATTAAAAATTATCTAAATTTTGAGTAACAAAATTATCAATCTTGTCGGATTTCTAATTATGAACTAATTACTAATCACTAATTACTAATTAGTGATGCTCACCTTCGAGCAGACCCCGCTCGGCCCGAGTCGGATCCTCCGGCGTAACATCCTTTAAAAGTTGGCTGTTCGTCTGCTTCGTCTTTGCAACAGAAAGTACATTTACTTTAGTATTATACACGACAATGGTGACATTAAGGAACTTGATTCCAAACAAAAGAATTTCCAGTTTTATTGGACTTCTAATTATACGAATGATACGAATGAATGTTTTATTGGATTATACGAATTTAAATCAGTGAAACTCACCTTTCGCCAACTCTGCCAGGCCCGGGCCGAATCCTCCGGCGCGGCATCCCCCAGGCATCGCATTCCCTAGAGCCGCGTAACTGTGTCTTCTCTATTAAATCTTTCTGACAGAAATTTAATTTAATTTAATATCTAGTCGCGCCCATAACATTAAATCCATCGTATCAGGATATTCGAATTTTCGCGCATTCGCCGTGATGTATATCATGCGCGGGGGCTGAAAGTCGGTCATGTGACTGCAGGTTACGTCATATAGCGTTAGCATGTGGAGCACAGTCTAGGATAATTTCTCAGTCTTTTAATGTAATTTTCGCGGTTGCGAAAGTTCAATTACGAAATAGACGTCAAATTATTATTTAATCTTATTTACATTTTATAGTTACATTAGATACTCCATTGTTTATAATAATCGTTAATTTTTATAGATTTATACATAAATTTAATTAATTTAATTAAATCTTATATAATAAGGTAGATTTTTCTTTCTTTCAATTGTACTATTTTATAATTACTTAAAATTTATAATCTTTTACGATTTTGTCTATTTAATAACAGTTAATAAGAAAAAAATGTTTACTATTAAAATTACTAATGTTTACTACTAAAATTTAAAAATAACGATATGGCATGTACGAGATATTATAGATCCTACCTCATTAGCTAAGGGTTAAATTAAAACCCTAAATACACAATAAAAGTACAAAAAATATAATTTTATTGAAATTAAATCATTTTATTAAATCATATTATCAGAAAATTATATTACTGTGTTAATTACAATATATATAATTACAATATAAAATGTAAGACGTTTATATCGATCGACGAAGTGTCTAAAGCAACAGATTCATAATCCAGAGGGGAGGAGTCTAAGTTCGAGCCAGTAAAAATTTGTAAACGTGATGTAACATTGGAATCAAGTAATCTAAAATTTTCAAGTAAAATCAGCAAACGCTTGTGACATTTACAAATAGTTTCTGTTAGAAAAAAGTAAATACATATCATATAAGAATATTTATATAAGAAAATTTATAAAGTAACATCTATTGTTCCATAAATAATTCAAAATTAATATTTTAGAAGTTCGTGACGGCACATCCTACTCGATTTTTGCTGCGTTTTTGCTGTCACGTCGTGAGGACAAATTCTGCTCGATTTCTACCACGTTTCCGCTGTCACGCCGTGATAGCAGGTGCTCCAATTTTGCTGCGATTATGTTGTCACGGCACGTCCTGCTCGATTTTTGCTACGTTTTTGCTGTTATGCCATGAAAATAAGATGTGCGTATACTTCTTTTTTGTTACACTTCTGCTGACACTTAGTGTTAGCAGGATATATTCAAATTTTACTGCATTTTTTTCGTCACATTATATTACCAGACCGTGTTGTCAAAAACTAAGCTAATGCGGACGCAGTGGTTCGGGATATGCTGAAAAGGCATGACCGAATTTGTTGGCACTGTGCTGGCACAGTGCTATTATTTGGCTATCTGTTTTACATGATATCATCAAATATTAATATAGGAAATATGAATTTCATCAAATATTAATATAGGAAACATAATATACAAATATTAAGATGTGTATAAGAGAAGGGAAAGGATTTATTATTTAATTTTTTAATTCTTATAGATTTGTTAATATTTGATAAAATCCGCATAAAAGTGCTAAAAACAGATCGAGTGGCAGTTGTGCTGAATGTTTTACACTATTAAATTATTAATCTGAAAAACTATTAAATTATTAATCTGGAAAACCAGAGCATTAAAGTAGAAAAACATAAGTACGAAAGAACATTGAAGAGATAATTTTGTGTGGAACCTGTTTAACATTATATTTTCTTCTGCAAATTTTGTAAAAAAGTAATAAATGCTAATATGGAATGTATATTTTAGACAATATTAGAATATAGATTTTGGAAGAGCAACTTTAATGACAAATATTGTCACTTTCTTAACATTGTTCTTTGACAAAATTATTTTGTTTGTTAGAAGAAAATCTTGGAAAATCGTAATGGAAATGTGCCATTTAGTCTGTGTAATCTTACAATTATAAGTAGTCATTATTATAACTAATAAATCTTAAGTTTCTTATATTTAATATTGACGCAAGCCTCCACGTCTTATTGCTGGTTGCATCATTCTGTTAGGTGGTGTTATTGATATATCCAAATAATCACCAATTGTAAACCTATAATCATATAAAATAGTACACACATATTTAATCACATGAAAATGTTTATAATATGAAAAAAATCTTTGCTATCTAAATTTGGTTTCATACCTGGCTTGTGCAAGTGTTTTGTTATCATCAGCACCTTTTTGACCAGAGCATGTAACACCAATCTCACGCATACGATAGCCAGAATTACGTAATTCAGGAGTCACTAATGAGAAATCAAAGTAGGTTCCCTTGCTACGAGCATCTGGATTAACTTCTTTAACTAATCCAGTAATTTCTCTCAAAGTAGCATCCATCCTATATACAAAAACAAACCAATCAGAGATAATTTCAAAATAGAAATTGGTAGAACTATTTGGAATAGTAGAAATTGATGATAAAATAATAATATAAGATATATCTAATTACTTGTATATAAACATCATATATTATAAATGTATTTATTATTATTACTACCATGTGTAAATTTGTAATTCGTTTGAAGGAACGTTCCCTCTGCTGTATTCCATTATGTTATGATGACGTCCAGTATTACAGAAGACTCGTAGTAAAAGTGGACAGGTCTATAAAATACCAATAAATATATCATGATATTTATGTATAGTTGCAGTTGTTAAGTTGTACATAAATTTATAAGACTTCAGTGAACATTTTTAAACAAAACAAAAACCTTTACATGGTTATATTATACACACTTTCTCTCTGTCCACTGGTTTCTCAGGAAGTTGTTTTTCGTCGACTACCATGGATTCTAACGCAGATGTCATTTCTGTTACTATATAACTCAAATTAAACGTATTTTCTAAAATATATACGCTGCTTCTTATCAAAGATATTAAATTTGTGAGTGTTTGTCTTTATACTCAAAACAAATTGAGATAAATGGCGGTATTGCATAGATTTAGAGGGTCGACTATAGGTAAGATCCAGATTTGACGCTGAAAACGCTTAAGGTACCTTTACATGGGAGCATCGAGCGTCGAGCGTTAAAGCGGTAGCCAATTAACGTGCCACTTTCCGCAAGAACAAGTATACTTCTAGGATCTGATACGTTGATTGGCTAACGCTTTAACGCTCGACGCTAGAACGCTTTTATGTATTGACACCTTTAGAACCGCTGTATAGACCAATCACAATCTTCCTTTACACGCTCCAAAGCGTTGCAGCTCCAACGGGTCATATCCTGTATGTATATTCCTTTTAGCTGAACTGCCTGAACTAGTGCAATAATAAAATATATTTCTCATTCTAACTTATTGCACTAGTGCACACTAGTTATATATTAACACAACTTAATAAAAATTACAAAGTAAACAAATTTACTAGAAGATTAATAATTTCATTGATCAACCTAGTGAATTTGCTTATTTTCGTAATTTCCATCGTGGGTCTATTCTTTTTAGTTGCATTGATGAACTACAATGATGAGTACAATAAGTTAAAATAAAACAAGTATATTTTTTCTCATTCTTTAACTTATCTCGCTAGTTTAACAGTGCAGTTAAAAAAGATAGACCATATGTGTGAATACAGAGATTGTGTTCCGACGTTCACTGCTAGTACTAGAGAGAAGGGAGAAGGGTGATGAACCATTTTTAGCCATGTGTAAAGTGCTCTTTGTATACTGATGGGCGTTAATTGAATCCTTTCTCAGTGTAGAATAGTATAGAGTCACTCTAATCAGAATTTGGCTATAAGGGAATAACTTTTGATTGGTCCTCTATGTTTCGTCAAATCCTGTCCCACACAATATTCAATCACAGTACGCCTGTGGCAGTAAGTTAGGTTAGGTTAGGTTAAGAAAAGAGACAGGATATGGCCCAGCGGGCGCTGCAAATGCTTTGTAGTAAATGTTTTTACTTCTTTTTCATTCTTCATTCGAATTCGAGGAATAGAACAAGAGAAACGCTGCGCAGCATTTGTAGCGGTATTGGACCGCGCCCAAAGAGAGAGATTGAAAATATGTGTTTCTTTCTCGCAGGATTTTGACGAAACCGCAGTTACGGCCAAACTCTCTCTAATTAGAGTAACTACCCTTACGAAAAAAATACGAAAAAATCTTCAATTTTGAGTGTAAACATCCAAAAACTGGAGATAAACACCTAAATTTGAGAGTTTTTTCGTATCTTTTTTGTAAAGGAGGATATAGTCCATCCTACCGGTCCTTAAAGAAAAATAAAATAAAAAACAAAGATAGAATTGAGATAATTTTAAAGCAATCGGCTAAAAATATTTAATGATTTAGAGAGAAATTATAAGAAAAATAAAGCAAAACCCTTAATTTAATCAAACCTAGAAACTCTTGATTCAGAGTCTGGCCCTAACTACGGTTTTGTCAAAATACTACGAGAAAGAGAGAGAGAGAGAGAGAGAGAGAGAGAGAGAGAGAGAGAGAGAGAGACATGTTTATAATTTCTTTCTTTGTTTATCTCTCCTTAAACTAACCTAATTTACTGCAATAGGAGTACTGTGATTGGATACTGTGTGGAATTTGACAAAACATGGCCAATGAAAAGTTGCTCTCTTTTGGCCAAACTCTGCTTAGAGTAATGGAGGATTCATACTGCGTTCGATGTCCGACATACGACGTCCTATATCTAATAAAAAAATAGCTTTCTAATTGAAAATTGAATTATCTATTAGAAAGCTATTCTCCTATTGGATATGTCGGACATTGGACGCAATGTGAATCTTCTATAACTCTAACTAAGCCTACTCTTACGAAAAAAATATGAAAAAACCAATTTTGGATATATTTTATTTTATTTGGGTAATTAATTTTGGGTGTTTTTAAATGATATTCCTAGATAACTCATTGTCTATATAGATGACATCTCATATAGTTTATTTTGTCTATACATAGATGTAGAATATCATAATTTACGTGTAAACCCAGATAGCACAGAAAATTTAAAAAGAATTCAGTCGTATGTCATCAATTCTGAGTTTATTTTTAGATGTGAAAAAATTTTTTTTCACTGAACTAAACTCTAAAGAATTCTTTTTGCATCTGAAAATGAACTCAGAACTGGTGATATACGACTGAATTCTTTTTAAATTTTCTATGCTATCTGGGAATGCTTAACTTTGGTTTTTGGAATTTCTCGTTCGTTTGAAAAAATTTAAGATGCATCTCCGCAATTCAAAGTAAAAAAAAAGTTGGCACGAAAATAGCAAGAGACACAACCCAGACAATCTAGGCCGATCTTATATTTAAGACCGGTATTCATAATCCGATCTTATATTATTTCCCATACAGCACAGATCTTGCAGCAACATTGCGGCAACATTCCTGCAACTTTTAACATTGCTGCAACATTGCTGCAAGATCTGTGCTGTATGGGTTAAGATCATCTTAAGTACTGTCATAAGATGTCATGAACCAATCACAGATTGGTAAGATGTCATGAACCAATCACGTATTCGCATCTTAAGACATTACTTAAGACGGTCTTGAAATAAGATTCAACTATGAATACCGGCCATTGTTTTTTTTAACGTTTTATTTTTGTTAAATGAACCCTCCTTCTTGACAGTCAATAATAGTGAGAAGCACTAGGGGCAAATCAACTTTCTCACTCTGTTTTAAACTGCCAACTTCCGGTTTCACTTTGCGGAATGTCTATGTATATATGTCATTGCTAAAATCGGGACATAAGACGTTTTAAAGATTATCTTTAAAATGTCTTTCAGACGATTATAAATGTCTTTAAGGCATCTTAAAGATTATCTTTAAGACGTCTTATATCCCGTCTTATGTCCCGATTGTAGACATTATATTATCTGGGAATATTTTCGCATTCGTTTACTCTTCGTAACGCAAATTCTCTTCAGTTGACGCATATATCAATGTCCTTTGTATCTTCTTTTTGCTTGACATTATTTATAGATTACGATTACCATTTATCGGTCGATTTAAAGAATCGAGTGGAGGTTTAATAGAGCGTGATGATTAATGGTGGGTTTAAGTCCTAAAAAATGCGAAGTTGTATGTATATGTATACACATATGTGCACCGTTATTATCTGTGTAATAGGGGGAAGTCTTGTTTACTTTGTTCATTCTTAGTCTGCGAATTTTTTATCGCAACGAAAGACATTGTATATATGAATATAATGTAATGAGACAGTTAGCTGATGTGCAGCACACACAAAGCAAAGGTCTATAGTTACATGTCGATACGATATCGTGAAAACAATTTTTACCGACAAATTTACATTTCTCAACAAATCTCTATTTGAGATAAAATTAACTGAGAACTTTTCTTGTTTTCGTAATATCTATCATTTTAAAGGTACGGTAACATTTTAAGTAATATTTAAATAATTTATATCAAATATCAATTTATGTCAATTTCCACGAAGAGCAATCACGTTACGACGTATCACGAGAATGCGCGAATTTATGTGTGTAGATGAAATTTAAATGATGCATGTAGTTTATCGCATGTTTTTTATGTTTTTCACGTGCAACGAAAGATGAGTGAGTGTACCAATGGCGTCAGCGTTAATAGCGTGCTTAGAGTGTAGTCCATTTGCATTAATAATATGCGTATTAACGATGTCACGCATCTCTTTGAAGTATTTATCGTGTCAAATGCGATTGCACTCTCAATTGCTTACGTGCAAAAAACGTCAATAAGATATCTTCCATCTCCGGCTTCAACATTTTCGAATCAAACGCGTCTTGATATTCGTATATTATGACTTCCCTGCTTAAAATATTTGATAGAAAATGGTTGGATAAGATTGAAATAGATAGAATTCTTATATTGTTGATTTATACGACTTATCATGCATCGAAGCTGTAGAACATAGACTTTCTATATATTTTAATCATATTTTATGATACTATTCTTTTTAATTATCATAAATATTGATGTTTGTATAATAAAATGATATTTCTAAATTATAGTAAATATCGCATTATGTATTTATTATTATTTTATAATAAACTACTTATAATATTCTTTCATAATAATTCTACTTATAATGATGGTTACAAAATGGTCAGATCCCAGTAAGCAAATTGAGCGCAGACTGCGCGCAGATTGGCAGCAAATTTGATAAAAAATCCACAGCAAAACCGTAGCCATCTGTGTCTACATTAGGCTACGGTTTTGGCGACAGATCTTGCTGTCGGGCAATTAGTGCCAAATGTGCAGCAAAAACCGCGCAAAACCTGCAGCGCAGTAAGGTCTGCGCGGTTTCTGCCACCAATCTACCGTCAAATTGCTACAAGCTCTGCGCGGTTTTTGCTGCAAATCTGCAGCAATTTTCCGACAACAAGCTCTGCCGCATATCTGGCGGCAATTTGGCAGCAAGATTTGATATAACAGATCCTGCATCAAATTTGTTATCTATTTGCCATCAAAAGTTGATAGCAAGCTCTGCTCGAAATCTGTTCGCGCAGGTTTGGCTATCTGGGTAAAAAATGAAAAGAATATCTACGTAGTTTAATGATATCTTATGATATTACTCTTTTCTATCATATTGAATATGAAAGTTGGTATAATCAGTATAATACATGGTATATAAATTCACTTACGAAATTTCGTAAATGAGTTGTAAAATATGTGAATCAAAATCACTATAAAATATGATAGATCAATTTTCTATCATTTTCTATCCAACATTTTAAACAGGTTATCATATCTTACAATTTAACTCTCCGTGGGCACACTGGGTCCATTTTGTCTGTAGTAAATTTTCATTCTTGAATGTTCTGAAGACTGAGTTAATCCTGGCTCTCTCCCCTAAAAAAAATAGGTAGTGGGGGCTGCTCGCACATGACGAGACTTGGGCTTAGGTCAGTCTGTTCCAGACCAGCAAGCAGATAAAGTCGCTCTTGTGCCCAAAAGGATCCAGTGTGCCCTCGACGTTAGAATTTTTAGATGTAAATAAATTTCCATTTTCTTACATTCTAGGATACTTATTTAGTGAAATAATTTTTTTTACGTAAAATAATTTTTTTAAGTTGTTCAAACGTAAACAGTGTAATTTTTGTTCATCAAGTGCAGATAAAAAAACTTATTATTAATGTGCAATGTGCGAAACACCCATGTGCGACGAACGCCGTATATTTTTTTGTAACGATTGTTTCATGTAAAGACTGTTTTTGAAACCCTTTATAAATAAAATCGTTGAAGTTGCCTATAATACTGGATAAAATTACTTCAATTTCAGGTTTCAAAATAATTATATTTTTTAAAATTCCTGCAAGTGTGGATGCACGTTTCCAAAAGATCATAATCAGAAGTACAAAACTCTAGAATAACTTTTTTTTATACTGATGTATTACAAAGTTATGAATTTTTGAACAAATTCTTTTTTTTTAAACTGCTTCCAAATTTTCATTTTTCCTAATTAATTCTATAAACATTTGACTTAAATAACAATTGTACATTAAAATAGAGACTTCAAAAAGTATCCTAGAATTTTTTCAGATTTTTGAAAAGCTTAAAATAGTTAAAAAAATAGTCACGGATAAAATGGATCCACGAAAGTGTGCGCAAATCGAGTGTGCCTGGATGAGTGGCACTCACTTGGACACGGTACAATTGGACACGGAGCAAATGGACACATTGCAATTAGACACAAAATTTTGCCTACGGTTCAATTGGACACGGTGCAATTGAACACGAGAAAAATGCGCACCGCTCATTTGGACATCGAAAGTTGCACACCGGTCATTTGGACACGAAAAGTTGCACACCGCTCATTTGGACACGAAAAGTTGCATACCGCTCATTTGGACACGAAAAGTTGCATACCGCTCATTTGGACACGAAAAGTTGCACACCGCTCATTTGGACACCGAAAGTTGTACACCGGTCATTTGGACACGAAAAGTTGCACACCGCTCATTTGGATACGAAAAGTTGCACACTGTTCATTTGTATACCGAAAGATGCACACCGGTCATTTGAACACGAAAAGTTGCACACCGCTCATTTGGACACGAAAAGTTGCACACCGCTCATTTGGGGGTGTATATCAGACACGGGGCAATTGGACACAGTCCAATCACAAGTCGCTGTTCCAAGGGACCCTACAAATGTCTCTAATCACACGGTGCTGTGATTGGCTGTGTCCAAATGCACCGTGTCCAAGTGCACCGCTCCCCTCATTTGGACACCGAAAGATGTACACCGCTCATTTGGACACGAAAAGTTGCACACTGCTCATTTGGACACGAAAAGTTACATACCGCTCAGTTGAACACCGAAAGATGCGTTAACGAGTGGGTTTCGATTGACCATGGTACAATTAGACATAATTTGTAATGATTGGTTCGACCTAATAATTCACTAAATAATTCTTTTCATCGATTGGTTATGTCCAATCGTACCGTGGTCAATCGGAATGCTCCCGCTTAACAGTTTATTTGAAAATTTATTAGAATTAACTATTTATACTATTATATTATTAACAGTTTATTTAAAAACTAACCTAACCCAACCCATCGTCACATTAAGCGTCAATCATTGTTTATTAAAGTGTTCAACTTTTGTGTTAATGTGACGATAAGTTGGGTGTCCAATTGTATATTTATAAGCCTAGTATAACTCAGAACAAAAAGATCTCGGTTGAAACAAGAAAGGAAGCATGTGTTTACTCTTGACGTCGAGTACTGTCAAATCGATTTTTTACGAATTTTCGGAGAACGAATGATCTTATGAGTCTCATATTCTAGAATTATAATTCTTAAGCCTAGAACAACTCAGAACAAAAAGATCTCGGTTGGAACAAGAAAGATAGTATAAGTTTACTCTTGGTCCGATAGACTGTCAAAAAACTTTTTTCAATTTTTCGGGCTTATAATTAAACTTATTGATTTGTGCTTTTGGAACAATGTTTGGAACAACTAGAACAATCTATATCGGTATCGGAATGCTTTATTTTCAAAAAATGGGGTGCCAGGTCAAAAACATTTTTTTTATTTTTTGAACTTATAATTCAACTTACGGATTTGTCTTTTTGGAACAATGTTTGGAACAACTAGAACAATCTATTGCGGTATCAGAATGTTCGATTTTCGAAAAGTGGGGTGCCAGCTCAAAAAATCATTTTTTTTGTTTTATTCGAAAACCGTTTCGAATGAAGCAATATCACTTTGGAACAATGTGGTACAAAGTCAGAACAATCTGGAACAACTTTCAAAATTATAAATTTCAAAAAGTGGGGTGCCACTTCATACACTCTGGCAACACTGCCGACGATACCGCGGGAACACCATATAGGCTGCGTTCGGAAACACGCATTGTGTGCACACTACTAGACGATAGCCGTTCGGAAATACTCAGGCTGCGTTCCTTTTGGGCGCTCACGCGCTTTAAGCACTTATAAGCGTCACTCTATCTTTCTTCCGCATCTAATGAGCGATAAAGATAGAATGACGCTTACAGCGCGTGAGCGCCCAAAAGGGACGCAGCCTCAGTGTGGCTCGGTTTGCACTCGTGTGAGATTGTTCGGAAACGGAAAGAGAGGCACACCGTGTGCCATCAAACTACTCGACGAAAAAGCGAGGGGAGTAAGTGTGAGCTGGTAAATTACTAGTTACCTATGTTATATGGTCTGTTCTTTTCAGCTGCACTGCTGAATTAGTGCAGTAAGTTAGAGAAAAGATGAAGCTGAAAAGAACAAACCAATAACCTTTTCGTTTTCGCATCACTTTACAGTACAAAAACAAAAAAACAGACCCCTAGTTTACACTAAAAGCCATACTGGAAAGCGTTCGGAAATACTCGACACACGAAGGCACACGGTACCCCCACTACTTTCCTACTGAAATCACGAAAACACACGAGAGAGTGATGTTTCCGAACGCAGCCATACTTCTATACAGACTACGTTCCGAAATTCACCAATACTGCCAATACTGAAAATCTATAGTTCATATTACATATACTATAGAATTTTAGTACTGGAAGTGAATTTCGAAATGCAGCCACAGTGACACGCTGCCGCGAGAAGTTTTTCGAGGCGGGGGTCTTCGTACGCATGTGTAATGCAGGATTTACACTGTCGATGTCCGACGTACGACGTCCAATATCCAATAGGAGAACAGCTTTCTAATAGAGAATTCAATTCTCCATTGGGAAGCTGTTCTCCTATTGGATATCGACATCGGACATCGCGCGGTGTGAATCCTGCATAAGGATGTCATATGCAGGATTCACACCGCGTTCGATAGAGTTTCGGTTTAACCGCCGGTATGATAAGATGTGTTTGAACGAGTTCAGACCGGTGATTTTTGGAAGTTGCTTTGGAACCTACCAAGGCCTTACTCATTTACATAAGGATTGGAGAATGGCGTATGGGGATAACCTTTTCCCCCGGAGCCATTACAGAACAGAACAGAACAACACCGCGTTCGATGTCCGATGTATGACGTTCGATATCCAACAGGAGAACAGTTTTCTAATAGAGAATTCAATTCTCTATTGGAAAGCTATTTTTTTATTGGATATCGGACGTCGTTGTCGGACATCGCGCAGTGTGAATCCTGCTATAGCTAGTCTTGATTATCGTGCAGTGTATTGCTGTTTCTGTACGATCAGTTCAGTTTGCGGCTGTCGTGCGTGTGTGGTGTATCTTGTATGTGTGTCATTTACAAAATAAACATTGATCTTGTAAAAGCTATCTTTCGGATTATTTCAATAAGAAATTCAACAAACAGTGAAATCATTCGAATGCATATGTTTGCCATTATAATGAAATCTCACGGTAAGAAAATTACGAGTTCAGCAATTGTGCAAAGTAGTGATTACTTGTTTTCGATTACGAATGAAACCAATTACGCGTAAAACTTATGTTGCGATATGTACACTTTTGATGTGTCTCAACCGTATTGAAGACAACGATTAGTCAATATAAGGGAAGAGACAAATAAAATAAGTATATTATAATTTATTATGATTAGTACAGCTTATAAAAAGGTATTGTTAAGTAAACCACACAGATATCACTAAGAAACCTGGAGACTTTCTCTGCAATTCTGCACTTTCTAAACTATCTTGTAAGTTTTTTATTGTTTGTCTTTTTACATTGCGGGTGCTTACTTATGTGCCTCATTTTAAGTACAAAAATGCAACTTAGGGATCGTCTATAATGCGGCCACGTTTTAAAGTCGTAGCATTAGTCTGTCAAACGATCATATATCTATTTACTTCGCGTAAATTCGTGAAAAATAAAAAGTTTCATTGACCAATTAAAGGAAACTTTCCATATTCTTCATGAAGAAAACATACATAATTGATTTGTAGACTAATGCTATGACTTTAAAACATAAGTACAACTGTATTGTACCTTTATAGAAATTTAATACTGTCAATAAATTGTTCAGTTATTTTTAGTAATTTTATTATTAACTATTAGTAACAAGTAATTAATAGTAACAAGTAATAAAACTACTAAAAATCATTGGCCAATTTATTATGGACAGTATTAAATTTCTATAAGAGTAGACGACCCCTTAGTGCAATTGTAAAGAAATGACCTCGAGGGAAATACACGGGGAAGTCTATCGAGTAAACAGATTGTGATATCTGTGTATACAAAAATATATTTCTGTTAAAGTAAAATGATCACTTAATACGAGTCACTAATAATATACCATGAATATCGTACAAGATATCCTAAGAATTCCCATAAAATATGTTATAAACATTTTACAAATAAATTTTTATATAATCCTACAAAAGAAATTTTGTAAATAAATGACAGATTGACCACATATTAAGATGCAGAATCTTTCCTTGCATTCTTCCTTGTATCTCGATTAGAATACAAATTGGTTTTAAAAATGTTAGGAGATAATCTCCAACTTGAAAAAGCTATTAATTTTATTAGAGAAATGTTTTGTATAAATTCTGCACTTTTTCTTGCGGAAGCCTCATCTTAATTGAAAAAATATAAAATTAGTATTTGATTATCCTTTCATTTTCTTCTTTCATCTTTTTATTTAATCCTTCCATTCTTTTATTTTATCCTTTTATTTCTTTGATTAAAGCTTATGTTCTAACATCTACTGTTCTGGCTCATATTGATTAACTTATATGCTCCAATACAAAATTTATGAAATTATATGGTAAAATCTAAATAAAATTTGTATTGCTGCAATTATATGATTGAAAAAATACATGTAGAGATCTTCGATGAAATATTGATAAATGTTTATGCAATTAATTTCTAAATAATATTTCAGCAAAATAGCAATATAGAGAAAAATTAAATTTGGAAAGAAATTGCCTGATAATTGAGACAAATATTTTCATTGTATTATGTTAAAAACATTTAGAAATATAATTGTACATGAAAAAAAAAAAAATATATATATATATATATATATTTGTATGTGTGTGTATTTGTGTATGTATGTGTGTGCGTATGTTGCGTGCTTGTAAAAATGTAAAATTATTCCTAAATTATAATTCAGAAATATTGTAACATAAAAAATTTCACATTTAATATGACAAAGCTTTAAATAAAGAATAAAATAAACGAAATAAAATACAAAAAATAGAGTAAAAAATTAAAAAATAATATATATTTTTATATACTATTTACCTAAAACTCTCTCTTTCATTTAAATTAGTAAACATATGATTAATAATTTCAATAGAAATTATCTGAAAATACTGTAAATATTACAAAATGTTACTGTTACACTACGTTGTGAAAAATATTGATGATTTCATTTTTAAATATTGAAATGTTGCAATTGTGGGAACTGATCGGGAAAGAATATTTTTCTGGAATAATCGGGAGGAATATGTTATTTTTTTTTCGATTACAAGAACCGTTCTCCCGAGAGCTCTCGGTTTCCGATGGATGGCGCGCAGATATGACTTATAGTAACGTATGCGTTATAGAATAAGTTGATGCATCTGACTACACAATAATATTTTAAACAAAAATTCCAAATTCGTGAAAGATTTATTTAATTTTGGGTAAATATTATTATGAAATTCTATATTCTGATAAAATCGTTGCATTATTGCGAATTATTTTAGCGAACAGTCATTATACTTTAACAATATTACACTTTATTTCATAATGCTATTATTGTACAATGTTCCGGTAATTTTCCTATCAGGATACTGACTTAAATACTTTAAAAGACATGTAAAAATATTCATTATAAAATTATCATCTTCTTCAGTTCAAAATTTTGTTACAAAATTATGAACGAAGGGAAAAAAGAGAGGCAGAAAGAATTTTTAAATTTAATTTCTTCTTTAGAATTGCTAAGTAATAGAGCAATTTGGTTATTACATTTAAATTCAACAATATCCAAACTATAAGGACCATTTTAATAAAGACCAAAAAAAAGATATTTTTTGTTAACCAGTATAATCGGTTTGTTGACGAGCGTAATACAGAGTATGCACTATTCTTAGACATGATTCAGACTTAGCATGGATCGAACTTGTGTTTATTTATGGCTCTTACGATGAAAATTAATATCGAATGGACAATATTCGAGTTAAAATATAGGTTTTTGCACGAACGAAACTTTTATATATAAATAAATTCATTATTTCACTTTTCGTTTACATATATTGTATTCAGCTTGCTCACAACTTCTATATCGTATACAACGTATACAAAATTCTTGCCTTTATTTTATGTTTTATATATAGTATCAGAAAATACGAACACATTTAATTTGTTTACCAATGCTCTAATTGACTCAAAATTCACCGACAACATATATCACATCTGTGCTGTTTGATTTATTATATCCTTCGGATCAGAACCCCTCTTTATCTATATTCTCTCCTGCATTATAATTATCACTCTGTTGACTTATGTGACAAGCGTAATCAGTGCTAGCTTACTTGCCTTCGACATCGAATTTCGCACAGCTTTCTCTTTTACTACGGTGAAGCATTACGATGTTATACCTCCATCTAAATGGACAGTATTCTCGTTCTATTCCTTTCGCTCTGCTTAATGAAAATTATATTTTTATCAACATCTTCGAAACTTAATTTTTGTACGGTTATAAATTTTCTTTAGAAATTCTTTCAAATAAGGCAGCATTAACAACTTTATCGCTGTCGCTTTACTTCTTGATAGTTTCTTTCTTCTTCTTTTTGCGTACTTTGTATTGTTACTTTTTTTTCGTTGTTATAATAATAAAATTATTATTGTTATTGTTATTAAATATACAATATTACTTGCGCTTAAATGTTCGAGTATTCGAGGATCGTAATTAGTAGTTCATAGTACCGTATACGATCATAGGATCGTAATTAGTAGTTCATAGTTAGGAAGACAAGAAAATCGATTGCTGTGAAAATTATAATAAAATTACATAAAATTACGATTGTTTAGTAAACATATTGGAAAAGCATAAACTGTTGGTGTCGTTCAGCAGTTACAGCAAAGTTGCTGGCAACGCAATGCAGAATATTTACTAAGTTTTTTTTGCTGTTTTTTCTACTGAATGCAGTCATTGTATTATCCATGAGAATAATGAATTGTATGTGCAATCCCAGTAAATTATCTGATTATGTAACTTGGAAAATATCCTCTGAACTTATTTGAATGTATGTGTAGACAATACTTTAAACGTAGTGATACTTTGAACACTGATAAATGATTGAATGTATGTGTAGGCAATACTCTGAAAATATTATATAAAAACACTATTCTCAGAATGTACTTTATATTGATATTTTATTTTACAATATTTAGATAAGAGAAATATTTACTAATTTTTTAATTAATTTTTGTTGGTAGGTTGTGACTATTTTGTGGGATATGTACGTGACTAATACAAGATAGGAAAAATGGCGAGCAAATTGCCGATGGAATTCAAAAAATATTATCGGAACAAGAATCAATTACAGCATGTACTTGAGGAGACACAACGTGCGTTGGAAGCTATAAATCTTGAAAATTTTTTCCCAGGAGGTAATTATTTATACGTATCAAGCGTGTAATTATATATTATATTTATATACGCAAAATGTCTGATGCAAATAACTGAAACTTTTACGTAATTGTTTACAAAATGGTAGAGGGATCTTGTGTTCAGTTTGACTTAATCTACATGTACACAGTGTATAGGATACTTTGCGTCAGACACATTCCGTGTATGAAGCAAAAATGATAAATTATTTGTAACATTGTCACACATATTTCAATTAACTGTACTTATCCATGTGTTTGTTGCAGAAAATATCATCAAAGAGTTATTGCCGCCTTTGACATTGAATAAAGTGACATACATACTCGATAATTTCCCTGCGATAATCGTTTTGGGACAGGACAACAAAGCCAAAGCTTCACTGGTTAATAACTTATTCTCCACTGATATTCTACCATTATCCAATGGTTCATGGAGATGGGTTAAGCTCACGTATGGACACACCAATCATGTCAGTCTTACTTTAAGCTTAGAATATGAAGTAATCGAAAAACTACAAGCAAATGAGAAACCATGGAATACACTTCCTGTTGAAGATCTAACAATGTCAGGAAGTGAAGACGTCAACTGCCCAACAATACTGGATGTGAAATTAGATCAAGCAATTCTAAAAGACGATGTCCACATATTTATCGTTCCAAACAGTGGTGCCATCAAGGTTCTTGCTAAGGGCTCATTGCGTATCTTACCCATATTTCTTTATGCTCTTGGAGAACAACCATTAACTGAGGAGAATATGGAAGAGTTGAAAGAATTGAAAGAAACTTACCCGTATTATCCAGTTTTGTTCATATCGTCATTAACAGATATTTCGTTTGACTCTTTCATAGACGCGGAATTGACGGAGTCTGAACAGCACAGTTTACAAAATCAAAGACTGGTTTCAAATGATCTTAGCGAGCCAAAGAGTGACAACAGTATTAGTATTGACAAAATGAATTCACTTGGCCTAACATGGCTGAATCAATTAACGAATTTAGGATTTCTCGGCATGGAAGAATCTGTGGAAGTACACAAATTAACGTGGCTTGTCGGCGATCAGTATGTTAATTCGAGCCATCTAGTGGATTCATGCAACAAAATGGACGACATATTATCTTTTACTCGTAACTGCTTGCAAAATTACTTATTTAGCGCCAGTAGTTGGTTGAATGAGATACACACGATCAGTTTACGTAAATTTATTCTGAGTGCGTTTGATATGGCACGAAAAATACAGATTACTCCTAGAAGAATACAATACGCCCAACAAAAAGAGAACGAACTTTACGCCAATCTGATGAAAGTTGTTAATGAACAGCAAGAAGCATTGTCTGGATTGATACAATTCAACATTGAAGATATGAAAAACGAGATATTAATATCTATCAATGATATTTCTCAACATCAAACTACTGTCGGTGATAACGAACGGGTAGAGTGGACAACTACTGTTCGTGTCGCAACGTCGGAAGTTCAGCAATACGTGTTGGGTCGTTTGGGTAAGAAAGTCGCAAAAGAGCTCGTAGATTCAATCAACTGTCTTCGAGAAACATTTGTTGGGACTCTTGAACGCTGTTTAATAAGTCTCGAAAAGACCTACGAACATGATAATAATTCGCTGGCCAGTGACGCATTAAAACAAATTCTTTCCACAGCATACAACATAGAATTGCACAATTCGTCGCCATCTTTGGTGCATTCATTTTTGGAAAGATTGAGACAGCTTTTCAAGACTCTGCCATTACCGTGGGCACCAACTCCGACTTTAGACGTGGCCTGGAGAAGGAAGGTCACAATAGACGTCTTGAACTCTTTGTCGGCAGCGAGATTGGCAAGAACAATATCCATGCAGTTCAAAGAGAAGTTAAAGTCGTCGCATGACATCTTTCAGAACGCTATGGAATCTCTGGAGAACTATTATTCGGGAAATCTGGAGAGGACAGAGGAACAGAGGATAGCTATACGAAAGTACCATGCGCCTAAATTAGCTAAACTCGCGTTGGAATCCATGTCCATGATGGACACAGTTCGTTTCGGTATCCCGCAATGCGGCAAGGAGATCGGAAGAGGACAATACGGAGTAGTTTACTCGTGCGACGGCTGGGGTGGAGCCCCAGGTCCGTGTGCAATCAAATCGGTCGTACCGCCGGACGAAAGGCACTGGAACGATCTTGCGATGGAAGTTTACTACACTAGATCGATACCGGATCACAAGAGAATAGTAAAACTTCGTGGATCGATCATAGATCTATCGTACGGCGGAGGATTCGGATCAGGAGCTGTCTTGTTAATCACTGATCGACTAAGTCGCGATTTGTACTGTGGCTTACGCACTGGTCTTTCATGGCTGGAACGTATACAAGTAGCGATAGACGTGTTGGAAGCGATACGCTATCTTCACTCGCAAGGCCTAGTACATCGAGATATCAAACTGAAGAATGTCTTGCTCGATACGGAAAATAGGGCTAAACTAACAGATCTCGGATTTTGTATCACAGAAGCTATGATGTCTGGTAGTATTGTAGGAACGCCAATCCATATGGCACCGGAACTTCTATCTGGTCATTATGATAGTAGTGTCGATGTATATGCCTTCGGAATCTTGTTTTGGTATATATGTGCCGGTAATGTTCGACTACCGTATGCTTTTGAGCAATTTCATAACAAGGAGCAATTGTGGATAAACGTACGGAAAGGTAATGCTTTATTTCTCTATTGTATGTAAATTGAATTAACATAAAAATACGTTTGTTTGTTGATCAAAATGAACTAATGTACGTACAAGAAAGTAAATCATCAAAGAAGTTTGTTGAGATAAAACTTACTATTTATCTTTTTCTATTTAGCTTCTAACGTTATAATCACAATATGGCTACAGCGAAAAAACAAAAACTTTAATGTTCATCTTAGGTATCAGGCCTGAAAAATTGTCACGTTTCGACGAGGAGTGCTGGACATTGATGGAGCAATGTTGGTCTGGGGAGCCGTCTAAACGTCCGCTGCTCGGTGCAATTCAACCAGTGTTAGAGTCTATTCAGCAAAAAGCGGAAAGAGGCAAGTCCTTTCAACAAAGCGACGCGCTGAAGCTAGAAGATACAGAGTCATCATCCGAACAAACAAATCCTGCGCTAGCATTAGCAGAGCCTAATAACCAAAGAGGTGCTCCAACTAGTCCGCTTTTTCCTAGGGTTTACAGAGGTAGTGGAACTGTAAGACCCTTTTGTCACAAGCCTAGACATAACACGTACATCGCCTATCCTAACACGTTCGTTCCTCTTTCCTTGTTTTAGATATCAGGGATCAGATCAGTCAGGCTTCGCATTCGTTACAGTTTTAAGTTAAATACTGTTATATTTATTGCTTTGAAATGCGCTTGAAATACGGCTTATTGTTCTTGTTTCCATTGATTCAACGACATTCTCATACTAGTATTTCATAACACAGTATTAAAGTGATAAACTTTAAATTTACACCTTCCTTTTTTCGAAAAATCTTTTTCTCCTTTTTCTTGTTATAAATATATACAGTTAATACACACATACATGTAAGGTAATGCGTAGTTTATTAATATATGAAAAGATTGGGACGATTTTATGATGGTAGACAATATTGATGGTAAATCTCAGGCTCATCATAGAAACTTGTTAGTTTTATATAATAGAGATTTAGATACATACAAGTATTTGATAACATAAATACTTTTATCATGAATTACATATATGTAACTGAATGCGTTAAATTCTTTTTTATATATACGAAGATCTTTTCATTGTAAATAAACATACCTTAATTATTAAATTATTTATCATCTAAATGTAATGACTGTATAATTATTTTGGATATCGAGAAATATAGATAGTCAAATATGAAATGTATATTGTTGGAAGAATAAATAAAGTTTCTCACTTTTATATATACTGTCGGCACAATAATTCGAAAAACGCTGAAAATACAAATATACAAGATACAGATCAAGTTACGTATAGGTTTTTCGAGAAAAACCCAAATTATGCCGAAATACAATTCCAACTCGGTATTTGACTTTAGATCGTACTAGTGCAACGTAACAATAAAAGTAGGAAATAGATATATCATTATGTATAGTCTATTCATGTTATAAAAATAGCAATTCCCTGAGTGATTGAAAATTTTTTGAAACTCAACGTAGTTTACTTTTATTTCCAGCGCTTCACACATTTTATTCCTTATAAAACCAGCTGCATCTGTATTTACAGATGCCAATACATATTATTTACAAATAGTTGTAAATAATACACTCTCCTACTATTTTGCCACAGCAGGATGGATGTCTCTATTTAATTATAAAATTTATTATATATTGCTTTCAGATCATACATTCTTCAGAACAGAAACTGCATGAAAAATCTGGAGGATATTGATAATACAATTATTTGTGTCTCAGTGAGATATAATATTATAAGATGTGATATTTTTATTATTCAAGAGAGAAGATCATCAATATGTGAAATTAGTTTAATCAAAGAACAATGTAGCTATGAACAAGCTACACTATTTTTCTAAAACAGGGAGGAATAATAATCTCTCAAGGTATGAATTATACATATTATTTATTTTAATTATTTTTCTACTATAATAAACTTTTACTATGATAAATTATAGTGTATTTATGGCAGCAAACCTCTACCAAAGATCGCGCCTTTTGTATTTTGGGAATAACATGTATTTGTTAAATTTGATTCTTGACTGATTATTATTTATTTGGATAATTTTTGTTTTTCATTGTTTTTATTTTAAAAAGGGATGTTGTATAAAATTTTATTGATAAGAGGACATCAATATTTAAAATATCGAAAAAAAAATTTCAGAAGTCTGTCTATAGATTTATAATTAGATTTCAGTTGAAGAATTAAATTAGGATTTATCTTAAGACACGATACAGTTTAATAGAGATAACCTTTTATAATAAAAATTGTGATATTATATTTGCAATTGTAATTCAACTGAGAAAGGCATCTAAAGTTCGTTTTGATAAATGAAACATGAGCTTTGTTTCAAAGCAGTTGACTTTAAGCTGCGAAAGATTGCGTATCTAGGTCTTCGAATACTTGAATGTAATTTGCATATCGAATATCAAATATCTTTTGAGTATTTCTTAGATACTTAATTCTTGCATAAATTACTTGAGAATTATGATTACTATACACAGTATGAGAGAAAAACAAAGTCAGTTGCTACAGAAATCAATAATGATGGTAAATGAACATTACATTAAAGGTCACTTTTTTCAATTCGAGTATCTGATTATTTTGGATAATACTCAAGCGTCTGATTAATACTGACGAATTTCAGTATCAGATGGATACTCAGGTATGCAGGTATAAAACTGCATCTGTTTATGCTGACAGAACTATTCTAGAAGTGAGTTTAGAAGAATTTTCATTTAAACAGTGATGTATATAAATTATAAAATTTATTTTAAAAAATATATAATAATAAAATAATTTATTATGAGAAGTTGTATAGTTTATAACATTTAGATATTCCAATTATTTTGTAACATATAATGTGATGAAATTTTATGAAATATATCTAAAGAGAGATTGGATGGAGAATAATAAAGTTTTTATTGAACACGATAGAATAAACTTGATATATCGATTTGATCACGACAATTATTTAAGATCAAGTTCCGCCTTTTCTAAGTCATATAGAAATCTGTAAAACTGCGCTATTGTCATTTCAGTAAACACGTTCTTGATTTTCCCATTATTTTCAAGATATAATTGAAGTTGCAGATATGATCTTGTCTCTTCGTCAGAATATGTACTTGCTGCAATCACTATAAACAATTAAAAAAATAGTATATTTATTCATTAATTATTAAGTGTTATCCACATTGTTACAGACTAAGATATAGTATTGGAAATAAAAGTAATCAATATGTGTGTTGTGTTATTTATTGTTAGATTTAATTAGAAGACATAATCAACTTACAAGTGTTGACTAGTAATATTAGTAATAAAATAGAAGAGAATAAATAATAAGAAAATAATAACTATTATGTTTAATACAATTTTGATCTAAAAAATAAACGATTATATCTAAAAGCTAAGAGAGGGAAATATCTAATAGCATGAACAATGACAATAATAATAATTGGTCTGTTCTGAGTGAGAAAACATACTTGTCTCACTTTAACTTATTGCACCAGTTCAGCAGTGCAGCTGAAAAAAACAGACCAAATATTGACAAATATATATATATATATAGTAATAAGAAAATTCACTATACATTGATATTCACCCCAACCCTTTCTTTCTAACATTGTACAATATTTACGTAAAATAATCTCACCTCCAAATCTCCATGATACATCTACTATTTTGGTAATATTTTTCTCCATATTTAAAACAAAAATATATTTTATGACAAGTCCAACAAATTCACTTTACTATAAACAGAGAGAAACCTGAGAGCGGCTATCAGCCTGATCTCAATTGTCAGAGCTAGGTGCTAGAGACCCTCAGCAGAAACTGACCATTGAAGGTTTCCGCGTGATTGGCCCACGGGATGAGGGCCCATAAAATAGCGGCACCAATATAAGTTAGAGCCCTTGCACAGCTACAGGCTATAAGCAATAATGCAGGATTCACACCGCATCCGATGTCCGACGTATGACATCTGATATCCAATAAAAGAATAGCTTTCCAATGTAGAATTGAATTCTATATTAGAAAGCTGTTCTCCTATTGGATATCGGACGTCGTACATCGGACATCGATTGGACGCGGTGTGAATCCTCCATTAGAATGGGACCGATATTCATAGTCCGATCTTAAGTAATTATCGACTATATTGCAGGATTCACATCGCGATCGATGTGCGACTACGACGTCCGATATCCAATAGGAGAACAGCTTTCTAATATAGAATTCAATTCTACATTGGAAAGCTATTCTTTTATTGGATATCGGATGTCGTACGTCGGACATCGGACGCGGTGTGAATTCTGCATAACAGAGCACACTCCAATGATCTCCACATTGATATCAAGGACACCTTGTGTCCTTTATGCTGTATGGATATTCTTGTCTTACCACTGATGAGTGGACCGCGCGACGTAGATACGAAGCGAGTTAGCGACGATATTATCGCAAAACTAAATCATCTTTGATCAATCTCGTCTTTCTCGCGCTGCGTTCTGCGTAATTTTGCAAGGAAAAAAGATTTGGAAACTGGACAATATAAAACAATAAATAATAGCTCGCGGTTATTATCACACGATTTTCGAGCAGATATTATAATTATTATAAAAGAGTAATAATATTCGAATAACAAATGGTAGTGATAATAATACCAGATCGACAATTATGTGATAATAGCCGCGAGCGGATAATAACTGAAGCGATAATCGAATAATTGGAAATAACAATGAATAACAATAACTAAGCAACGGCAATAATAACTGATTAAAGACGAGGTAAATTGTCGTAACGGCACGCCCGAGTTGCTTTTCTATGCGTAATAGCATTAATTAAATAATAGCCGAATAAATTAAATAATAATCGAATAAAGAAATAATAATACTCGAATATTAAATGATAGTGATAATAATATCTGCTCGACAATCATGTGATAATATCCACGAGTGGATAATAACGGAATAACGATGATCGAATGATCGGTAATAACAATACCTGGGCAACGGTTCTAACAAAAACTCTAAGCTCCACAAATGCTAGGTAGCCCGATCGTCGTAACGGCCTGCTCGGGACATTGACTGGCGGCGCTTGGGGAGGGAGAGGGGGGCGCGCGGCCGGTCATGTAAACACGCGTGCGCGAATACGTTCTCGAGCGTCACGCTATTACACTCTCAACCATCGAGACGAATACATCGGGAGCTGCCGCGTTATTTTCTAAATTATTTCGCGCCGATTTTTAATATCGCATTTTGACTTCGCCATAATTCAAGCGATAATTAACACGAATTGAGACGCGTACTTATTACGCGAGCAGGTGTTGTGAGCTTTACCGCAGCAGGTAATTATCGCGTGTCATTTACTTTTTTACATGTTAGAGAAAAGTTGCGCTCGAGTTCTTCAATGTCGATCAAATATTATCATCATCCATTTATTATTTGAGTATTATTATTTCTTTATTCGGTTGTCATTTAACTATTTTTATTACGTATTGGGAAGCAACTTGAGCGTGTTGTTACGACAATTTCCTCGTCTTGTTCTCGTGTGTAAAAAATTGATACTACCGGACATTATTATATGGTTGTCGATCAGAGATTATTATCATCATCTAATAATTAATCGGATATTATTACTTCCTTGTTCGGCTACTGTTTATTTATTTTTTATTGCGCATTGGAAAGGAACTCGAACGTGCCGTTACAATTTCTTTCACCGTCTTGCTGTCGCGTATAACTATTTGATACTAATTTATTAAATTACTAATTAATACTAAATTAAATTAAATTTCTGTCACAGAGATCTAATAGAGAAGACGTAGTTATGTGGCTCTAGGGGATGCGATGCCTGGGGGATGTCGCGCCGGAAGATCCAGCTCGGGCCTGGCAGAGTTGGCGCAAAAGTGAGTTTTACTGATTTAAATTCGTAATTAGAAATCCAATGAAACTGTAAATTCTTTTGTTTGGAATCAAGTTCTTTAATGCCACCATTGTCGTGTGTAATACTAAAGTAAATATGCTTTCTGTTGCAGAGACGAAGCAGACGAACAGCCAACTCTTAGGGGCTGCGCCGGAGGATCCGACTCGGGCCGAGCGGGGTCTGCTCGAAGGTGAGCATCACTAATTAGTATTCATAATTAGAAATCCGACAAGATTGATAATTTTGTTACTCAAAATTTAGATAATTTTTAATTGAATCAAAGATCGCGTTAAATTGTAATTACACGCGGGGAGAATTTTTCTGGGTAACATCTCCACTTGAAAAATGTTGATTTGTTCTAACTAAGAGATTTATTTGCAACGTCGAGCAAAAAGAAAGTGGAATATTTTAATGTAAATGCGTTCCGAAAAATTCTCTCAGCGTGAGAAATATCGCGCTTATTTTTTTTTTTTTAATCTTTCAAACTTTTTCATTCAAATCCACTCAATGCACAAATCTAATCGACGAAACGGCATTTTTCTGTTTCAGAAATGAAAGCAGAACGTGGCTGCCCTGATCGGCGGTTCGGTGAGTCAAAACAAGAAACATATTGATAATAGGAAGACAAAAAGTCTTTCGATGTAGTGCATGCTTATAAATCAATGCGATTTACTTTGCTGTAGTTATAGTATGCGTATGTGCCGTCCAATAAAAAGCTGCTCGAAACATTTGGAAGATCTCTTTTTCAAAGAACAATTTAGTAATGTATATACTACATAAATTTGACAAATAAATTTTCAAGTAGTTTTTTCCCAATGTACATATATTTATTAATTGATTAACTTAGATAATTGATTGGTCGACGATTTTCGTCGGAGGAAATTTTGATTAACTATACTATATCCCAATACTATACTATACTATCCCCTATACTATACTATCTGGTAGATGCTTAAAGTATTGAATATACGCTTTGAACATTTCAGATTTTGTAAAATTATTCAGTTTTATTGAATGCGATCTTCCAGGTGTCTGGAGTAGTGCGCCAATGCGCACTCAAGAAATTGCGCCACAGAGATTGTGCCACAGAAAATGCGCAGTTACATCACCCGCGTCATAGATCTTCCGCCGGTCGTTAATTTTCTCAATTTTCTCCCATGAATTTGAATCGCGATTGCATTTCATAAAGTAGAGTTCGTTATTAAGTAAAATTTGATATCGTGTGGCAAAGCGATCTAACGTGGTCATGTAAACTGCTCGCAAAATTAATTTCAATCGTCAAAAAATTTACAGGTTTTAATTTTTCACTTAGAGTTTTCTAACGCGGGACACAATAGAGACAATGCTAGCAAACGTTGATCCTTCGCGAAAAAAACGCGATGTATGTACACAAGTCAGACATGCGAGCAGTTGTTTGTTTACTTATGCGGCGCGCGACAAGTTCCATCGAACGAAGACAGACGTCTCACGCGGTAACATTTTTTTCACGTGAATTTTGAATATAATCTTTATCTCTATCGTCACTATTTTCGTAGTTCTTGATTTTTCATTCACTACGTTTGCGATTATTAATTTGATTTGCGAATTTCATCGGATTATATTTGCGGAAGAATCGCGAGCGAACTTCGCAGAAATATTGCGGAGTTGTTATCCGCAAAAGTATTGCGGAATTGTTATCTGCAAAAATATTGCGGAGCTGTTATCCACAAAAATATTGTGGAGCTGTATTACAGTCTACTACGCTGTACCATCGAAACGTTACATTAGGGATATTCCGTGTCGGACGTGAGAATTTTGCACAGATTACTTCATCCACGCGTCGGAAGATTTCGCGAGATCGACTTTCGATTCGCGTCGCGTGTTTCCCTCGCTCGCGAATTTCATTTTCTTCGTAAGCCATTCGCGTCGCGCGTGTATCAAAGCGATACACTACAACTCGATCGGACCGTTACTGAATTCATCGCACATACTCGTTGTTTATCCAAAAGGCCGACATTTCCTCGAACACGCAGTTCGCGATATTTCATACGCAATTCGCAACTCGGATTGTATCCCCCAAGAGAGACGGGATTTTTCGTAAAATCTCCGTTAGATTACCGCGGTCGGGAGTGAATTACAGGCGACGTGGGATGCGAGGACCATTGCAGTATTAGATGCAGCGACAGGATGGCTGGTGGACCCTGGACACCGTGGGACGACGCGCAATGGTGAGCGCTCAATTTAGACGCTCATATAGTAGACACGAAGCGTCACTTTACGTAGATTGCATGCACGTAGACGTAAATCGCATTGGGTCCGACGGGAAGTAAAGTAAGAATTGGAATTTGCAGTTCGCCGGAGTTACATAAGAATGATCCAACCAAAGAATTCAGCTCTGAAATTTTCGCAATAGTTCAACGAGTTAAGCATTTCCATTTCTTTAAGAGTACCGACAAACTCAGTCTTTAGAAATATGTGCAAAAAAACACGACTGGTAAAAAATAAAAGAACTGTTTCTTAATTTATTTCAAGCATTTGTAAGGCTTGAATTTTTTTTGTTTGGTTTAAAAAGATGGGAATGGAGGAGTATCCATTGATAAAAGGTTATAATTTTTTGAATTGGATCATTCTTGCATAACAATGGTCAATTGAAATTTCGACTCGGCAGGCTTCCTTCTCGTGGGATTATTACTTGATGATACTGATATATTTTAACTGATATATTTCAACATGTAATATTTATATGTTCTGTATATGTTTATATAAGCTTTTTTATGCACTATATATGTTTTATATATATTATATATATGATCTATATATGATCTATATATACTGTTTGATTAAAGTACTTCATAACTTGTTATGTCATATTGTACAGGGTGTCCCGTCACTATGGCGTTATCTCTTAAGGGCAGATTCCTGAAGTAATTTGAATAAGAAAATCCTAATATAAAAATGGCGAGATTATAATACTTTTCAAATTATAAACGATTAAAGCTGACCAATTCTACTAGCTAAAGTACG